AGCATTATTATCGCCAATGCCATTATAATAATTATATTACTTGCAACCATATACATAATAGAAAGATTAATTTTCCTCATAACAACTATTAAATTCAGCTTTATAATGGTAAACAATATCATCATTACTATCATCAATAATGGCACCGTAATCAAAATCCTAATCTTGATCATTGTCCTGATTAAAATCATCTTAAGCATTCATACATCATCATCAGCAGCGTGTTAGCCTCACAATATCACCGTTCCTGTCACCAACCTTGTCATTCCACTCAAAACCCTGAGCCCAATCATAATCCTGATCACAACACTAAGCCTCATTCATTGTAGCATCATTATCCCCCTCACAGCTAGCCTGGTTAAGAGTAAGCATTGGTGGTGGCGGAGTCCAGTCATCTGTCGCCTTTGAGACTGGTCATTTTGCTGTAGTGGTACTCAACTGGGAATGTCCGGTACCCTCGTGTGCAGCCGCTTCTCCCATCCGGAAGTGAAGATGTCCAGTTGGCCTTTATTGTGATGAAAAGAGCCTGGGCGTAATAGTCGTCGGGTGGACTGGCAATTCGTGACACAATCAACTCTCGCCAACACCGGCAGGGGATACAGAACAGATGAGACTCAGGAATGCAAACTAAGCGGTCACCGGGACGACTAATCATATCGTCATGGCAACGTATCAAGGGCCGGTTGTTGGCGTTAGAGGACACGGCCAAGTCGCGAAGTATAACAGGGTCCTAGTTAGTGAATATCGTTAGTTTTAATTGCATCTCACCAGGCCTTCAGGTTATTGAGACTGGGAAATCACGGCAAATCGTGAGTGTGTTTTGGCATTGGTTACTCCGGATCGCTGACCAACGGCAGGACAGTCTTACTGTTGGATGCCCCATTACAACCGGACGACGGAAAGAATGTAGATTTTGTGTCAAATTACCGCCCATGTCATTCGGCCAGTTAAGGCTAATGAGACGAAAACAAGACAATTGTAGAATACATTCTTTCTCTCCGAGGCTGGTTTGGCCGGTTGGTTAAGTATTAGCTTACAGAACATTTTCGTCTCAAAAAGACTGGAAAGCCAGGCCTACTCAAACTCTACTTTTCGCATTAAGTATTGTTTCGAGACTACCAGTAAATCAGTAATATGAGATGTATTCATCCAATTTCTTTTAGGGTCATGAAGGACTGAAAGAAGAAGAAATTTTTCCACAATGATATGAGTTGAGCTGACGTTTCCACTGAATTTGGCATAGCCTTGCTTTCCCAAAAGTTTGTGAAAACTAGTCCTCATGACTTCAGAAGAAATGTCAAATTATCGGTAATTTGTGTCATTCGGGGTCACTCAAGTTGAGTTAAAGA